TTTTATTTCATTTTCATTTTATTTCCTTTTTAGGTTTTTTGCCTTTTTTTTTTTAATTTTATTTTGTTTTTTATATTTCCTTTTTTATTTCGTTTATTTTTTATTCTCTTTATTTTTCATTTTCTCTCCCAGTGCTCCCCAGTAACACCCAGTGCTCCTCAACAACCCCCAGTAACACCCACTGCTCCCCAAAAATTGACCCAAAACCGACCCAAATCACTCCAAAAGCTGACCCAAAACTGACCCCAAAAACTGACCCCAATCATCCCAAAAGCTGACCCAAAACTGACCCCAATCATCCCAAAAGCTGACCCAAAACTGACCCAAATCACCCCAAACAATGACCCCAAACTGACCCCAAAAACTGACCCAAATCATCCCCAAAACTGACCCAAAACTCTGCATTTATTTGGCACCATTTCCTCTCAGAAACAACATCTCCGATTTAGTTGATTGCTAAAGCCATCATTTTAAAATCATCCCAGGAATCAAAAGGGACTGGAAAACACACAGAAATCATTCCTGCACCCACCAAATCATTAGGAATTGGAACCCAATTCCCTCATCTATCTCCTTGTTTTTCTTGGCTGGAAAACCTGATGATCCCCGCTGGCTATTTTTAGGCTGCTTTTCTTCCACAGCTCCTTTCCTCCCGGCTGAAACCTCCTGGCACATTCAGGGCTTATCAGGGTATATATGCTGCTTCCTGAACAGGAGCACACAAAACGCATTGAAGCCAAAGAGAAAATGACAAACCAGAAAAAAAAAAAAAAAGCCAAAAGAAATGCTCTGCCTGCTTTGGTACGCTCTCTGCTTGATCATTCCAAAGGAGATTCTCCACGGATCAGAAGCAATTACCAATCATTTTTCCTCTGTAACAGTTAATGAACAACTTGGGTTTCTGTTGAGAGGCTGGACATGTCCAGTGAGGGTTCAGGGTCTGGTGGGTTGTTTATGGCAGATCCTGACCGGCCCAGGCCAAACCCAACCACCCCCATCGCTGCTCCATCCCACATGGAGAATATTGATACTGTATAGAAATACTCCCCTTCCCTGCTACTTCATCCTTCTTTACACATCCGTGGAGCAGGTTTTCTCCACCCTTTGTTCCCAGCAACAGCTCTCCAGCCCAAATCCCAGCTCCCACAGACACAAACTAAACACACCTAAGGCGATGGTTCCATCAGCACCTGGAATTCCAAGCTCCCCGTTCCCTGCAATGCTCATCCCAACACTCACAGCAATCTCACCTCAGCCCACAGGCTCTCTGTCCTCAGAGGCAAACACAGCCTGCTCTGGCACTGCGTTTCCTCTCACTCCTGGTCTCCTGCAAACCCCCAGGGAAGTCCAATCCCTCAGACCCTGCACCCCTGGACACGAGTGGAACTAGAGTTTGACCCAGATCCCAGCGCCCTGGACAAGTGTGTTCCCAGGAGCACAGGCCCATGGCTCCATCCAACCCATCCACCCCTTCTTTCCCTCCAGGGAGTCCCAAACCCTCCCCCAGCTCCCCTGCGTCTGTCCCACGGCCCAGCCCAGCTACAGGCTCTCCCCCAGCGCTGTGTCAGCCCCAGCCCTGGCAGAGCTGCAAAGCTCGGCCCCCCGGGCTCCTGAACCCCCAAACCAAGGCTCAGGCTCACCAACGGGGACCCACCTGCCCCACTCAGCACAGCCCAACCCCACAGCTCGAAGACCCCACGCTCACCCAGCCCTTCGCCCCTTCCTCTCCACCCTTCCCAGCACGGCAAGGACCAGCCTGCAGTGGGAAACAGAGCCAGTGCCCAGGGAGCAAATGCCAACAACCAGGAGAGAAACGTGTCCCTCTGACTTACCCCACCCCACGGGCAGCACCAGGTGCCCCCAGCACCGGTCGGTGGGGCTGGAGCCTGTTGCTTTGGCTGCTCACACCCCAACACACATGGCATTGCTGGACCCAAGTCAACGATTTTCCCTGTCCTGAAAGAGAGGAGAACGAGAAAATTAAGTGCACTGGGGAAGTCAAAGGCTTTTGGCTTTCACCCTTCTCTTCTGATTACTCACTACAGGCGTTTCTTCCCTAAAACTTGCTCTTACCCCCAACACCACCAACCCCCGCCCCGGCCGGTCCCCGCCCCTGCCCTGCCCGGCGACCCCGAACGCTTCAGGCCCGGCCCGGCCAACGCCTCGCTCTGCGCAGGCGCCGCTTCCCAGCCCGCCCCGACCGCCGGGCGCTGCCTCGCAGTCGCCGCCTGGCGGACACGGCCGGGAACGCGCAGCCGCGCCCCCCCTTGCGAGACCCGCGGCGCCTTTCGCGAGGACGGGCCTTTCTTCCCGAAAACCTACCCTTCCCTAGGAAAAGCTGAGCAGTTCACAGAGTTGCTGGTTTTATCCCGGCTTCCCAAAGGATTTCTCTCTCCCGGCGCCGGCGGCAGCGGCAGCAGCAGCAGCAATGCTCCCCGGGAAGCCCTGACCGAGGCTGGGAATTGACACACAACAAGCCAAGAGCATTAACTCGGCCCCCAAACACTCCCCAACAGACCAATTTACAATCACCTTTGCCTCCTCCCCCCCGCGCAGGCACAGGCTTTGGGATTCCAAGGCAAACCCCGAGAGGCCCAGAGAGCAGCAGCCCCTCAGCCCCAGCACGGCCTCCCCCGGGCTCCCCCGGCCGGGAACCGGCCCAGCCAGCCCCTGCTGTGCAGCACAGCAGGCGGGGGATGACTTTTGGGACCCCTCCCTGGCCGCTGCAGAGCAATGCAGGCATCGGGGCCAAGTCCTGCCCGGCCCCCGGGCACTGCAGACAGTTCAGCCCCAGCAGCAGCAGCAGCAGCAGCAGCGGGCTGTTCTGCCTCTTGCTCCCCTCTCATTTGGAACCGAACGGTGAGGAACAAGCCCCGGGCACAATCGGCACCGAGCAGCAAGGCCTGGGCTCACCAGAGGCCCGGGCCTGCCTACTCCAGGCTCTGGGCTTCCTTTGCTTTCTTCCGCCGCAATTCTCCTGCCCCGGCAAGCGTTAAAAGACAGACTGCCCGGTGAGACGTGCCCCGAAACAGCCATCAGTTCCCAGGCCAGAAAATCTCAGCGCCACACTTCGAAACCCTGCCGCGAGGCCCCCGGCGAAGCCAAGGGGAGCTGGGATTCCCTGGAGTCCCAGGGAACCAAGGGGAAGGTGGCGAACGAGCAGAGAGCAAACACCTCCAGCTGCTTCTCCCTGCAGCCGCCACGGCAGGTGCAGCGAACGCACACCGGTGTGGAGTTTTTAAGAGAGCTTTAAAATAAACTAAAAAACAATCAGTTTACCGAAAAATCCTTCTGCAGTCCGCGCTGTCAAACAACTCAAATTGCTCACTAAGAAAATTACCTAATTTAGAACAACTGAATTGTAGAACCTCAGCGCAGCTGCCCTGGGATTTCATGCCCCCTGTGTCTCTTGCATCGGGGAAAAGGACTGGGATGCACTGGGAGGGACTGGGGGCAGTGCGGAGGGATGGGGATGGGACTGAGGGCAATGGAGAGGGGCTCGGGGGACTGGACTGGGAGTGGGGGCACTGGACTGCCATCCACTGGTATGGGATTCTCAGGGGAGGGACTGGGGGAACTGGGATGGGACAGGGGTCATTGGGGAGGGATTGCAGACAGTGGGACTACAGGCACTGGGATGGGACTGAGATGCGCTGGGTGGGCACAGGGATGGGACTGGGAGCACTGGGAAAGGGACTGCAGGGACTGGGATAGGACTGGGAAGGGACTGCAAGGGGACTGTGAGAGGACTGGGGAGGGGACTGCAAGGGGACTGTGACAGGACTGGGGAGGGGACTGGAGAGCGTGCCTGGGATGGGCCTGAGAATCTCAGAGGAGGGACTGGGACCACTGGGATGGGACTGCTGTCACTAGAATGGGGCGCAGATGTACTGGGAAGGGACTGGGGAGGGACTGGGATTCAACTGGAAGCACTGGGGAGGGACTAGGAATCATTTAGGAGGGACTGGGATGGGACTGGGGAGGGACTGGGATGGGTCTGGGGAGGGACTGGGATGGGTCTGGGGGCACTAATGATGGCACTCAAATGCACTTGGGAGGGACTAGGAGCATTGGATGCAGTGGGGAAGGACTGGAGGTACTTGGATGGGACTGAGAGAACTAGGATGCTTCTGAGGGCACTGGGGAGGTACCAGGGGCACTGGGTTGGGACTGGGCTGCACTGGGGGCACTTGGGAGCGAGTGGGATCACTGGGGAGGGAACTGGGATGAGACTGAGGGTACTGGGGTGGGACCGGGAACACTGAGGGCACTGGGGAGGGACTGGGATGCAACTGGGGGCACTTGGAATGGCACTAGGGATAGACTGGGATTGGACTGGGGGCACTGGGGAGGGACTGCAATGGGTTTGAGGCAAATTTGGAAGGACTGGGAGCACTGGGAAGGTTCTGGAGGGAACTGCACAGGGAGCTGGGTTGGGACTGAGGGTACTAGGGATGGACTGGGATGGGACTGAGGGTACTGGAGACGGAGTGGGATGGGACTGGGGTGCAGTGGGGGCAATTGGGAAGGAGTGGAGGCACTGGGGAAGGAACAGGGATGGCACTGGCTGCACTGGGATGGGGTTTGGGGCACTTAGGAGAAACTGGAATGGACTGAGGAGAGACTGGGGACAGCGGGAAGGGACTGGAAAGGTGAAATTCAAACAGACTCACCTGAGTCACGGTCTAAGAACTCCTGCTCCAGATCCTGAGCCCGAACAACAGCCGAAGAGCCTCAGCCCCAGCCCTGGCCCCTCCTCCCCCTCATTGTTCACACCTGGGCCTTCTCCATAGAACAGCTGATTCTACCCAGTACTCCCAGTTCCCTCCAATGGCTTGCAACAGAATTACTAGACTCCCCAGAGTGCACAAAAATACAATCCCAATCCCACAATAATTTCTACTCAAAACCAACAGTCCCTGACCAAAGCATCCAGACCATATTCTAGCCCTCAGCTCTATCCCAGCCCCTCAGTGATTTCAGCTCCAGACCCACAAGCTTTATTGCACTGCCAGCTCTGCTCTCTCAGCAGTAGCTCTGCATCTTGCCAGCGCCGCCACGGGAAGCTGCTCCAGGTTCTCACTGCAGGATCTTCAGCTTGGCTCCAGCTCTGCGACTTTCCAGCTCCACCCTCACACTCCCAGTCCCAGTCCCTCAGGTGCTCCTCCAGCCCCATAACTCCTATCCCAACTCCAAAGTCGCAATCCCAGCCCTATACTGATTTCAGCCCTACCCACCCAATCCACGTTCCCACCCATCAATCACTAGTCCAGCCACACAGGGATTTCAGTGATGGTGCCACAGTCCCTACCCGAGCTCCATACACTCTCCCAGCTCCAGAGACACAATCCCAGCCCTATACTGATTTCAGCCCCAGCCTCCCAGTCCACTTTACCACTTTAGAATTCCTATGCCAACCACACAGGGATTTCAGCAACAGTGCCACACTCCCTGTCTCTGTCCTACAGTGATTTCTGCTCCAGTACCATGGTTCCTATCCCTGCTTCACAGTCCCTTTCCGAGCACCACTCTCCCTATCCCATACCCAGACCCACAACCTTTATTTCTCTGCCAGCTCTGCTCTCTCAGCTCCCGGTAAAGCTGCTGCACGTTCCAACCCTAACATCTTTCTTTTGTTAAAGGTCTGAGTTTTTCACTCCAGCTCTCAAGCCCACATTCCAGGCCAAGCCTGACTATTTTTATCCCAGCTCCAGCTCTGCAGTACTTATACCAGGTCCATGCTCCCTAACCCAGCCCCACTCTAGTTTTGCCCACAACCCTACCGTCTTTATGTCTCCACCAGCTCTGCTGCCTGAGTTCCAGGTCCTCAGCTTTCTGCTGCCTCTGCCTAAAGCTGCTTCTGGGTGTCTCTGCAGCCCGGGGCTGTTGACAAGGTCACAAATCAATCTTTGTGGTTCACTTAAATATCTCTAGGAGCTGTCCCACCCATCCCAACAGGAACAGTACTATAAGCAACAAAACAATAGAACAAACAATCAAGTAGTCAAAGATGAAAATAAAAGTAAAACAAAATGATAACAGAATGAAACACCTTTTATTACTTTTCTTTGTAATAATACTCTCCATATCAGTCCTCCTGGGAGGCTGCATCCTAGTCCTTCTGGTTCGGGGGAGCACTCCTGAGCACGGGCTGCTCCCCCACTGAGCACTGACCAAAGCTGGCCGGCACAGCTGCCGGGGACACCGCCTGCCCAACGCCCTGCCTCGGCAGCTGTGGGGGACCGACCCCGGCTCCCCCTGGATCGGCAGCCGAGGCGGTGCTGCCCCATGGCTCCCCACCGCTCCCTGGAGCGGCAGCCGCGAGGGTCCCACCCTGGCTCACCGCCGCTCCTCAGCCCAGCGGCCGCGCCGATCCCGGGCCGGCTCCCGCAACCGCAGCACCGGACCAACCCCGCCGCCGAACTGCCCCGACGGTCGTCCCGTCCCGCCCACTCCGTTTATAGCCCGTGGCCCACACAGTCCCGCCCCCCTCGTGCCAGCCCAGCCAATCCCAGCCCCCGGCAGCGTCGGGCCCCGCCAATCCCCGCCTGCCCGTTCCCGCCCTGCCCGTCCCCAAGAACCCCGCTGTCCCCTCAGGCCCCGCTCCCAGGGGCTGCTCCGCTTCCGCCCGCTCCCCGCCTCCCTCCCCATCTCCCGGGAGAGCTCCCGGACGGGACGGGACCGTGGAGCTCCCACCGCCCTTCCGTGGTCCCAGCAGCGCCTGAGGGGAACGGGGGGGCGGGGCCGCGCGGAGGGGCCGCGCCATGGCCGAGTGGGCAGAGCTTGCGGGACCGTGGCCGGATTGAAAAGGCGGGCCGTGATTGGACGGCGCCGAGAAAGGCGGGCCGGGATTGGCGAGCCGAGCGCTGCCTCGGGACGGGATTGGCGGGGCTTGGAGCCCGCGGGACCGCGGCCGCGGGAGGTGCACGGGCGATCCTTGCCGCGGGTCCTCGGCCGTCCCGGGTCCCGCTCCCGGGACCCCCGTCCCCTGCCCGGACCCTTGGGGCGTAACCCTGTTCAGTGAGCTGGTGAACTGCAGCTTGCTCAGCCTGGCAAAGATTTCTTACACTATCGGCTGGCTCGTAACTCTGTCGGAAGGCTGCTGTGTGCAGAGCTTACTCCAGGCTCCTCTGCAGCGAGAGACTAACTTGTCCTAGAGCTTAGCATTAGTGACTAAAGTAAAGGAAGCTTTAAGCCATGTGAATTTTCTTTCACCCTTATCTATGGAAATGTAAACGGTAGATAAGGAAGCGTAAGTAAAACTTTAACTACTGGATATTCTGTTACAAAAGATAAGGAAACATCTCAAGAAAAAGTCAGAAAGGGTGCCTGGAGGATGCGGAAGCAAATCAGAAGACTCCAAACTCCATGAACAGGACTGGATGAACTGTGCCGTTGGGATATCAAGCGACCTATAGAGACCATAAAATCCAGTGACAATCAACAGGCAGGGAGGTTCCCTCTTCAGAGGCTCCCAGCTTGAGCTGGAACTACAATGACATATAGTAGAAGAAACCCCATTTGATTCTTTTATTTAAGCGGAACCTAAGGACAAGCTCTTTGAGGTGGTATCCATGTAATTCCTACCAGAGTGTCAGTGGCAACTGTATAATTCATACAACACGTCTTGGCATCCAAGCTCTAGCTCTAAACTGCACAGGAGAGGAGCCAGACCTCTCCAATGGTAAGGATTTCTCACTTACTCAGTATGGAAATGGCTGAAGGTGGAATCCAGTGAAGAAATGAATTCACGTAAGAAAGATCTAAAGAGAAACAGTTCTCACCTTTGTGAAGTCCCATTAAAAAAGATGTTTGCCCCTGCACGTGTGCACTTGTGTGTGTATGCGTCTGTGTGTGCATTCACAAGTGAGCAGAAATTCAAACATTCAGATCATTATCGGGGCAGAAAGAAACCAATACCTGTCTTTGTTAAGACACATAAGGTTAGTGCAAGAGATACAAAGAAACAAAGTATTTATTGTTAAAAGCTTTTCTACGAATCACTCGAATCACTCGGCATCATACAATGAAGACATGGTGGCTACAGAGTAGAGGGAGTCTCTCTGTTCCCCTCATCCTTTATACACGTATTTGCTCACTGTCACAAACCCACTGTTGTATTTTTTAAATGGAGTTCCTTTCTTCAGTGAGATTGGAAAAGATCATACAGGATCTGGCAGAACAGATACATCCTATTGAACAACAGAGCAGTTACAGAAAGGAGACCTCTTTCTTTAGGAAAAAATAGCTTTCTTTTCCTCCTCATCCCTTTGCACTGCCATAAAAGGGTTCTCCACACAAAACCAGGCCAACAAACCCCAAATACCTGATTAGCATTTTCTCAAAATTAGGAGCCCTAGGATATGCACCAATATTGATATATGCACTAATATTTTCACTCGGCTTCCACAGGATAAATTCTAAACAATGTGGTTTAAAAAACCTGCCAGCTGAGACAATGTCTGCACTACAACTACCAACCTGCTACATTGAACAACTGAGTCCCTGCTGATAACAGTGGAAAATGTTTTGACAGTGTGTCTCAAAGTTATCTGCAGAACTTTTGGTTCTGTCCTGCATGCCCGTTTCCAGGCTACACACCAGCTGAGCCTGGCACTCCCACGTGCTCTCTCCCTGTACACACACACATGCACACAGAACACACCGACTCACATGGGCTGTGCTATTTCCAACAGTACTCTGCACATTATTTTGTGCTATGTCTCACTGGCACTTCAGTGGCACCCTGCTCCATCTTTTTATTGCCTTTCCCACTGTTGTATTTTTCTCTTTATTCCATAATCAAATATTTGTTTCCCCTTTAATCTCTACGAAACATGAGTCCTGACTCATGGCCAACAGCACAAAGGACTAAAAAGACTGTTTATAACCTGCCATGTCAACACTTCTGCTCCAAGATGTTTTTCCTTTCTACTAGTACTCCAGAATTTTGTTGAACCTTTTCCTAGTTTGATGCTCTATTTTCTAACAATCTATATTATCATCTATACATGAACTACTTCTATGCACAGAATGTTTTAAGATGCATAAATTTGTATTGTACTGTGGCAATAAGACCCTGAAACATCTTCTTATCATCTTTTATACACACAAAACAACAACCATCCTGAACTTCAAATGAATTTCTCATTCACGGTCTGCCACAATTACCTGCCTGTTCAGTGCCACTACCTTTCATTTTTGTACTCCCAAGCAGCACCTAGTCTAGTTCCTTCCAGTATAGCTCCATCATTTCTCTTCAAATAAAATTTCTCTTTGTTTTGCAAAAAAGCAAGCTCCCAGCTGCACTGCTGGAACAGAGGACAAAATTTCTCACTGTACCTCTTCAGTAAAAGAACTGAGCTGTTCCTGAACACGGGAAAAAGACATCAAAATATCAAACCCCAGTTCAGCCAAAGGAAAGACACTTGACAGCTATTCCTAAGACTCACTGTTGGTGACCAGTCTTTTTATAGACAGTGGGATGTAAGAATTTAGATTCTGGATTGCCATCTGCAGTGGCTGATTCATGCACACACACACTTCATTACAGCACTGCTGCTGAACACAGATTCAGCTTTCAGCGATGCAGCTGTGAACAGGGCAGCAACACCACATTAGTTTTGGTAATTTACTCTGAAAGAGACTTGGAACCAGATCCATTCAATTAATTCTACAGAGAGGCCCTAAAAGCAGGCTGGACTCCAGTATGTTGCCAGCTGTGGCACATGACTGAAATTTCTCTGTACAAATATTTGCCACTTCAGTGGGAAGGCTCTCAAACCCCAGAATTCCCTGGCAGACATCCTGCAGGCATCTATCTCAGTCTCATTTCCTTTCTGCACTTCCTATTCCTGCAGACTGAACACACCCCCTGAATGCAGCTGCTCTGTTTGCCACATACAGAAAACAGTTTTATACACTGGGCAGCGTGCACACAACTGACACAGCAGTGGAACAAATATGGAAGCACAATAGCAGATGAAACCAACTGTTTTCCCTCATAATGCTTTCTTGTAGTCCAATTAGTGGAATCCTAAATTAAGCAAGATTTCAAGTCAATCACTGTCTGGCAGCCTCACAGCACCTCACTATAACCAGTTTAAGACTGCAGGATTTCACATTTTACTGTGAAAAGAGGTTTTAACACAAAAAAGAGTTCCAAATGAAGTCATCCCCAGTGAAAGGCCTCAGGAAAAGAGGTAAAGCCATCCTTTTTCTCACACCAACGTTTTTTTGTGACAGTATTGCCCTCACATGACTCCAATCAAAAGTAAATATTCCAAGACATCTCCGAACACAATGGAGAGTAAAAGCTATGGCACTATTAATGTGAAAGCAAAGATATTAAATAAAGGGGTAGAACACTATCTCTTCTGTGACTGGACAGAAGAAACTTTTAAGTTAAGAAAGAAATTGGCAAAGGTAGCAGAAGAGGAAAGGCAATACTACAGAAAAATGCATTATTCAGAAGAGCTGCCTTCCTTCCATACCACATGTGAATTTGATTCTCTTTCCGAGGAAATGAAGAAAGGAGGTGAAAAGGAGTAACCTAGAAGAGGATTTTGAGTGCCACATCAAATGGACAGTTATATTTTGGCAGCTGCCTTTTGGACTAGAATTCACGTTGGGCCATTAATCACAACTGTGATCTGTGCACTACAAAAAATGAGGAGGGAAAGGATTTAAGGAAGATGTCCCTGCTTCCAAGTAAACGTGCTATAAATTCCCGTAGTCTGAATTTACATTTACAAAGAAGATGATTTCCAAGGGCTATGTTCTTTGTGCTATTTAAGGCTGATAGTGCTTTATAACTCAAGAGCATGCCACATAACCAGCACATATCATGTACAGGGGAACTAAATAATTCATAGTAAGAGGCAGTTCACCTATGATCAAAATGTGAGACCAATCCAGGGACTCTGTTAACATCTTGAAGAAAAAACTACCATGTTACATGAAATTAAGTTTCTTGGAATCTGCACCAACAATTAGGAAGTTTTTTTCTGTGATGAATCCCGCAGGCACACACAGAGAAACATTTAAGAAATCTGATACTTTACACATATGCTCATTGTTAATATCTGCTGTGTTCAAGTAAAGCACCTTTATGTTATTTTCATTTTCTCAGAATACCTCATTTGTTGCTATTACCACTGATATTAAGGATGCCTAAGAAGCTCTTACTCCAGGGATGATCCTCTTGGTAAAGGACATTGATCATACCCATCTAGTGATATGTGACACAGTCTAGCTTTTACTGCCAAGACAAGGGGAAGAGGAAGGAATTGCATCTGCAGAAGAGATGTCCCGACTGTATGTCTTTCTTTGAGAGAGGCTCCACATTCCAGAATGAAAATCCTCCTTGTTTGTTCTTTCAGATGGTGAGATAGCTTTTTTCACTGGTCCAGCTGGAATAAAAACTCTCTTCAGGAGTATAAAACATTCCACAGCTATAAGAAAGACTATCTTGTTTAATTCCAGATAAGTTACTATTTGAGACTCTTGGGTACCGTAGAATGAGAACTGCCTTTATTTCTCTAAATCCGTCATCTCCTAGAACACCTGTCTCAACCTCCCCATCAGTGCCTTAGCCCATTAGGATTTGCTGTATAGTGTCTGAACTTTCCACTAAAACGTAACAATGCACGTTGATGAATGAACCTTTAGTCTTCTTTCACACTGACACTTGTATGGTGCTGCCTCTGGCCCGGGATGGTTTGAGACACCTGCCATGGGCAAGATTTTCAAGGGTCACTCTAAAGCTGGTGTTCTGACTGGTGTGTTGACAGTACATTCCCATCCAGTCAGGAAGCAGGTCCGTGTGTAACAGTGAGCTAGTAACACTGAAAAGTCCACTGGTTTGGTGGTCATGATGCCAATGGGATCTTGTGAGCAGGACTTATGTGTTACGCACTCCCAGAGATTGTTCCAATTCCTGTCGGCGCTGCTGGATCTGAAAGAAAAAGTACAGTTCAGCAGATTCAATTGTTCAGCGGCAGAAGATGCATTTATAAGCCAGCAGTGTGGATATTTCTTTCATACCTTGCAGTAGAAATATCTGCTCACAGCCTCTTGAGACCATGGCTCGTGATAAAATTCGGCTCTGCGTTCTTCCTCTGGGTTTCCAACAACATCAGTCATCACCTGTGACAAAACCAATATAGCTGTTCTACCACATAGACAAACTTTTAGGTAGAGTTGAAATTTATCTACATTACTACATAAAAAATGTTCAGAAGTGTTCTCAAAGCCCAAAGCAAATGGACAATGTGTGCGTACTACCAAAACAAGATCACAGAATCATCAAATGGTTTGTGTTGGAAAAGGGACCTTAAAGTTCATCTCATTCCACTCCCTGCCATGGGCAGACACCTTCCACTAGACTAGGTTGCTCCAAGCAGTAGGGGGTTGGAACCATTCTATGATTCTATAAAAAAATAGAATTCTGATGACCAAGTTTCCAGCATCACAGAATCAGAGGTAAATATAAAGTTATTAGCATATTTTGCAGAGCAGTATTGTGCAACCACAACTCTGATGCCAGCAGGGCAGAACATCATGGAGAAGGCTCTTACGGGACTGGTTGTCAGTCAGGGAAAACTCTGAACAACTATTCTATGTGTGTAGCTAGAGAAGCCCCACAACACTTTTGTTTGAAAGCTCCTCAAGGCAAAGGCTGCTTTATTTAAACATTCTTTCAGATGCCATCCCCTTTTGAATACAATGTAAATAATAATAATCATAGTCTCAACAGTAGATTTTTGTAAGACTATTGACTAGGCATTTACATATGAAAGACACAATGATTTTAATAAAATAATTTCATGGATTCATTAATATGACTGATTTTGAGGCATGTCAATTAAAGACAGAAAATGTGAAACTTTATGAAAAACAACTCGTTTTTGCTGTCAAACAACTGAACTTCTTTACATTCCATTTCTCACATATCTCAAAGATAAGCTCAAAGGCAGCTGATATTTAACCTGCCTATTTCTTAAATAAGATTAAATTATGAACTAACAAAACACCCCAAAATTGTCTTCTTGTACTATAGGATGCTCCTGCTGAGTTTTATATAGCTTTGACTTTACAGAGTATATCAACACTGCACTTCGATCTTACTGTCTGACCATGAATCCACCTACCGTGCCCACCAGGCACCGCTGTTTCACTGGAATTGCAATACAACCTAAACTGTCTTTCCTGCATACTGTCTGCTCTGGGATTGCAGTACTCCACTAACTGCCTCTCTTCCACCAATTATCCATCCTTGATGTTTGGCTATGCACTCTATATACATTTAGATAAAATTCTTCCATTCTGGTTCCACTATTCATTCTTTTTCAAACCTTAGCTTACCTTAAGATCCCTACTTTGGGACCGGAGAAGGTCTTGGATGTATCCTTTGGGATCTTTGGAGAAACTCAGCATGAAATCACGTTGTATTTTTAGCTGATTTATGGACTCAATTGTCTCATGAATCTGACAGTAAAAAAAACCAAAATATGTTACTTAATTTCTACCATTCTCCAGTGACCCTCAGGTCATCTTTGTACTCCTGGTAACGTACAAAGGTGACAATTCTATACCACAGACCTGTGCAGCTTCCTAGGGCATTTTCACTTCGAAGAGCAACTTAACTGCAATCCTGCCACTACATTTTGGTTTCACTTGTACTTCTGCAACACAAGTAGGTACAGGATTCTCCTTCACTTCCTGCACTGAAATGCTGCATGGCTCACAGAGCTAAGTCGTGTCACCATACAAAGTAATAATTTCCTGTGTAGAATCACTCTTTCTGCCCAGTCTGGGATCTCTGGGGAAAGGTGCTATATAAATATGTCTTTAAACAGTGCCCAATGCAAGAAAGCAGTTATTCTCCTGGTTATCATTATCACCATATCTTCCATATCCTATTGTAATCCTTAAAATTTCTAGCAACTTCTTGATCAAGTCCATGTTAAATGAACGGCCATGACTTCTAAACTTTTTCTTAAGAGAAGGCCTAGTAAAGTCACGCTGGCTGCAAAAAGAAGTGGAGTGTGAACAGTGAGAAATCGGGAGTACGGAAGGTTTATAGAAAATGAATCATATATTCAGAAGTATTATGAAGAAAATGAGCATTAACTAGCAGGGAAGAAGGAAGAATGAAGAGAAGTCAGGGTCCTATAATGTTCCTGGATATCAACATCAAGTATGATCAGTAGGAGGACAGTTAATGAATGACCTGCACTACACACATAAAGAAGCAAACGTTTGCTACCCTGTTCTTCTAACATTCTAGTTTGAGATAGTAAACCTATCTTGTTTAGTTTCATGCATTCACCTTTTTTGTCAAAGCAGCTAAGGGGGCAAGCACATGGGAGAAAATAATCCTCCTGTGACTATGCCATCAAGGCCACTAGCGTAGGCACTACATGGTAAGTTAACAAAAGTGAGCTGCTGTCAACTTAAAATCATTCCTTCTTTGGGAAAATGCTACGGCTGTGTGGAGTGAACTCCATCGGCACCCGCCGAGTTCCCAGGAGAGGATCTGTGCCAGCACAGCAATGCAAGGCACTGAAGGGTAACAGCAGCAGCCTGTGCCCATCCGCCCAGCAGTGATTACAACTTCTCTTATCACAGCTTGCCCTGTGCTCTAGCAAATGCTCAAAAAAGAGGGGAGACAAGGCACAGGAAAAGGTGAGCTGGACTGGAAACAGAATATCACCATGCATGCTGCTTGCAAGCTTATATAGGCTGGGAACCAACTCACTGAGCAGCTGCCCTGCTGAAAAGGACCTTCCTGGAGAGCCATAAAAGAAAAGATGCTGCAACAGTTACCAGAATCCACGAGGATTGCTGGTGTCCAGACCCCCTTTAAAATTGCACCAAGACCAGAGTTTAACATATTTGTTTGTATTAGAGGTAAACAAACAGAAGCTGTGCCTTGCTCTGAGAAGCCACTTTTGTTTATTCCTTACCAAGCCAAATCAGACATTGACACATGGCAGAAGCTGGCCAACAGTGACACGAACCCCTAATACAGCCTGCAGAGCCCACCACTGCCCTAAGACAAACACTATTATTTGAAGTGCACATGATCCTCTTTCGATAACACTTAAAACCGCCAAACTGCTCCAGGTGATTTTCCTGCCATGCATGTTCCATATTTGCACCTACTGCAGAGAGCTGTTCTGCAGTCATGGATACAAATCCCACACCCGAGTATGAGATTCTGCCAGCTTTGCCTTAGCAATTTAGCAAGATATCACGACCCCTCAATAAAAAGTTAGTCATACAGTTCAGGTGGTTCTCGAATGTCAGAGGACTCATTACACTACCTGTGAAATTCTACTTCTATCACCCTGATAACCATGTCAGGCCCTGGATCAAATCCTGAGTGGGAACACCACTCACCCCTGTGTATTCCCACTGCATGTGGCCAATTCACCCCTTGAAAGCACATCCCCTTGAGAAGTCCCTGTCTCAAGACATTACTGTCTTTGACATGTGACACCAAACCCACATGAAGCTACACAATGAGTACATGTACCATGGGATACTTTACTATTGGGCTAGTACCTTGTTGTCCAATGCTGTAATCTCCTGTTGGTTAGCTGTTGAGAGAAGAAAACTACTCATCTGGCCTTTTAATGGGTCTTCAACTTCTACATCTATGTCATAACACGCCGTCTTCTTCTGGTCGTTGGGATCAACGCTATGGAGAGTACAACACAAGATAATGAAAACAGCCAAAATGAGTCAGAATAAATATCAGTCCAGCCCAGAATACACTCTTTGATAAAACCTGTTGCAGATGCTGGGAAAAGAGTGTAAGAACGGGGTATCTTTATATATACGTATATTCTAGTATATTCTCTCCTCTTTCATCCATCGGATTTCACAGATTTTTAAGCTGGAGCTTTTGTCCAGACCACCAAATTTAAAAGCTACTGATAGACATACTCTTCATTAAATTGCCCAACATCCTCCTGAGACCTATTAATAAGCTAAATACCAGTATCTTTCTTTGGCTTGTCCTGTCCTAAATTTATATTTAATTTGTTGGCATTTAGACTTAACATTTACTTTATCTTTAAAGTTTCTTAACAAACAGTTTTCAATCCTGTAGTTGGTAAATCAGACTTCAGTCATTGTCACACATAACCACCAGTTCCTTGTCATTTTTCTCTAAGCAATGACTACATATCTCTGAGGACTTCAGCTTTTTTGTGGTCCATCAGAGAGGTCACTGGGTTATGATTGATGACAGTATGTACACAGCCATCAAGCTGCATGGCAGCCAAGCTGCTTCTTGATTACTCTGTTTGATACATTGAAACGAATCAAAAAGCAAATTTTATTTTCATAGTCTATGTAATATTTAAACTTTATATCACATTACAAATTTAAAATAAAGGATCAAATTTTAAGCATATTCAGAAACATTTGTTGTCAATATTCTGTAGAAAATCAAATCACCACATTCAAGTAACAATAATGTTTAAACACCTAGAATCAGAGTTTTGACCAAGACCACAGAGAAGCTTGTGACGGATTGAAATACCTAAACAGTAAGACTGCAATCCGCAGAAGTCTCTTTGTCCCCCTTCTCCACACACAGTTGTCACTTAAATATGGCATGTGCTTGAAGTGCCCCAGACAGCTGAAAGCTGTATTTTATCTGCTATCCAGAGAAACATCTGTTTTGACAAGGATGCGAGAGCTCAGTATCTTGGTCACAATGGCCTTCTCTGAATCCAGGCATTCTTTTTTGTACATCTCTGGAGATCTCTTGGCTTCTTGGCATTCTCAGGATAAGGCTAACACCCAAACAGCTGACCCAATCCCAACAAAGCATGCATGGACTCGCCACTGCATTTGAAACTGTAATGCTGTTGTACACTTTACATAAGAGCTCAGTGATTTACAGGATTGCCCAGGATGTACAACTTCTTATTTCAATTCCTTTTTTATCTCTTTTTGTGGGTTCAAACTCTCATTCCTCTCCCCTTAGGAAAGAAATCCATCCAACTCTCTCAATGGTATTTCTAGTAGGAATAAAAATAAAAGTTGTTTTGCATACCTCTAGAGAATTGGTGCCATTCTACTGAAAATAATTCAGAATTACAGAGACTAGAATGACACAGAGAATGAGCATGCAACAAAGTCCTAGGTATTCACCTGGAAGTACTGAATTCTGGTGCCTTCTACTACAGCTGTCTCTGTACTTTATCTAGTGAGTGTTTTGCACATGACAGTGCTGAGCTGACTGACCAGCTTACCTGATGATGTGGTTTATCACTATTGGGTCTGGTGGCAGCAGTAGGTTAGTGAGTCTCTGAGGAATTTCAGAAAACTTTAGCCGTGGACAGTCAAAGATCTGCAACACAATAAACAAAAAATGTTGTCTGTCCCAAACCTAACTTGCAATTAAATGAGAAAGTAAGAAATCAGCAGCTCATAAGGAAGGTGATTTTGAAAACTGTAATTCCGGTTCCTTGCACAGAATACATTTTTGGTCACTTCTGTCCCTGTAAACTGCTGCTGTACTTACATCTGGGCTCACAGAGATGCATCAGATGATGACAATTTCAGGTGTTCCACTTTTGGTTTAGCTGCTGAAAGGCACAGGACATTTTAATGGGACATAAGGATCAACTGTATCAATAATGAGAGAGAAGCAAACACTCCCTTTCTCACTGAGGGTTTGTAGCAGCACATTTTAAAGAAAATTTTATTTAATTTTTTTTACCAGAGGAAACATAAAAACAGCTTGCTTTTTTTTTCCCCCAAGGAATGTTTCCTGAAGTATTTTGTGGTAAAGAAAAATACAAGAAAACACTTCTGAATTTTAAAACTATTCACAATTTATTTTTTTTAAGATTAAGGAAAAATAAACTCAATGTGGTATTACATATTTTTAACCACAGCCTGAACAGCCTCTTGAAGGAACCCACCCCTTTCTGAACAACAATTCATGGTTACCGTCTCTTCACTATGGTCCAGAAGCTAAACAGAATCATGGACTCATTGAATATCTCAGGTTGGAAGGGACCCACAAGGGTCATCAAGTCCAACTTCTGGTCCTGCACAGGACAACCCTGAAAATCACACCACAAATAGGTACTGACTTCAGAAAAAAATTTATTCTGAAAAGGATTAAAAGCTGTAGGTTTTGGAAATTTTCTGTGAGTAACTGCAGTACATTGCCATGAATCTAGAAACACTCCTTGCACCTGGAATTTTCAGAAATATAATTATTACCACCTTTTTTTCCTACTGGGATTTTGTGGTGGTTTGGGCTAGGCCTTCCTTGGTGGCCAGTTTGTAACCAAGGAAGGGTCCAGATTTACCCAGTATTCCCTACGATTTTTACGTAAGCCAGACTATAAGAGAGGAGGAGAGGCCTTCGCTCTCTTTCCTTCCGGCGGCTTGGAGGTGCAGGTTCCCTGCTGTTGATCTGCCGTGTTGGGGAGCGAGGCCTGGTGGGGCCTTGCCGACCTTGGGAGACGGAGGTTGCCGGCGATAGTTCCGGAGCAACTCTCGGTTGTCCCAGGAGAGTAGTGAGCTATTTTCTTTGCTAACTCTTTTAGTTGTTAGATATTGTGTCACTAATTGGGATACATATATATCTATTATTTTAGTTTTGTTCCTTTTTTTTTCCCCTTCCCCCTTCCCTTTCCCTTTTGAAATTGTATATTTTAATTATATATATAAGTGTAAATATATTTATATATCTCACTTTGGTTGTCTCTCTCTCCTTTCGGGTTTTCTTAGTTTTTTCCCCCTCTTCTCCCTGAGGTTTGGGGGGGGGGGACACTTCTGGTGGTAAGGTTTGGAGACTTGGCAGGGAGCCAGCTTCAAACCATATCAGATTTTTAATGCTCTGAACAGGTGAACAGGCTTTTCTCTGAAGGTATTCCATTTAAACTGATTTAACCCTCCCCCACCTTCTATATATTAACATTTACCTTAAAACATACCCTTATGTAAAGGCAATCTGTGAAAACATTGAGGCCTATGCAAATGTTAGGGAAACTATTTTCACCTGATAAAAGAGATACACTACTTGTAGTATTGTATCTATAAAGAGAGACAAGCTTTGCAGCTCCAGAGACAAAGGACAAAGGCAGGGTTAAAAAGAAAGGACTATGAGGTTGTAGGACAGACATACAAACTCAGATGCTGTAGTTCCCCAGATACAGTATCTTCTGAAACCTATAATTTTCTCGGTGAGAAAGTCAGGGAATTTGGCAGCAGAAATACCTAGTAGCCACCTCTGACTTTTGAAATACCTTTGAACCTTTTTTCTTGCTTTCACTCGTAACACAATGTATTTCAAATCTCCTTGTTGATGTAAACAGTGTTTCTATACAGAAAAGGATCCACCTTCATCAACTCTAAAATTTATCTGATTTGTTGGACTTGCCTGCATCCAGGAATTCAGCCAGCTAGTTTCTAAAGAACAAGGAAGTAACAGGATCTACTGAGTCTGCAGCTCACTCTTTGTTTCAGTTCTGAATTCTGACACTTGATAGAGACGACTGTGGAATTGCCACCCAAAATCTCCGCATACCAGCTACATCCAATCTGCTGTCACTGCTGGCTCAACACTCCTGTCAAACTCCTAACATGGGTGCCCAAGAGACAAGAGCTTGAAGAATGGAAAAGGGATCAAGGATACACACTAGTTAGAGGAGGGTGGGAGCCCGGAAACTAAGGCTACATGGAATTGTCCTAAAACTCACATTCCTTCTGAACTGCAGTTAAATGGTATAAACTTGTAATCCCTGGCTTTGAAGGCTCTCTGGCCACAGTGATACCGGTGTGTCAGGTAACTCATTCAGCAGTATTTTTTTAGACACAACCACAAGCACACCAGTGCACGCCTCAGAACAGCTGGCACAGCGAATGAGAAGACATGTATCTAACTGAATGGAGTGAGAATGTGTTATGTACTGCTCCCCTAAGGGACCCGCACACTTCCAGCCAGGACCACGGTTTTTTCCAGGAGTTCTATGACTAAAACTATATAGTCTACAGAAATACTATCAGACTGGAAGGCATTATTAACCCAATTCCTTTGCCCTCCATCTCTCAATCTTAGAGTGAAAAACAAAAAAAAACTCATCATGAAATGTTTCATTTGATGAATGGGATTTATATCCCTAAGCACTAATGTCAAGTTTTGAAAGCAAGATTAGCTAATTAGGACAATTTTGCCAGAGACCTAAGGAAAACAGAAACACTCAAATCAATCCCATTTATGATTTAAATCTATGCAAGCGCTGCATTCTTATGCAACTATTCCAGCTTAGCCAGCTCTTGCAGGGTGTGAGGTTCAGTCTTCTAGAAAGGCAATCAGCTACTTCCCAACTTTCTCATCTGATTCATCTTCTGAGAATGAGAAGACATCTACCAGGTCTGATGACATTCCTGAAGAGTTATAACATAAAGGAGACCTACAAGCTAATAAGCACCTAATGAGACACACGAAGAGAAGGTGGCTTCAGCAAGTTCTTATTCTAGTGAAGTTCTTAAATGGAAAATTAAAAAAAAAGTGAGAAGGTCCTCCCGCTTATCAAAAGTAAGATACGAACGTGTGTACTTTTTTAGACAAAGGATCTGCTACAAATCATGTAAGCCTAAACCTACAGGAAAACAAAGTCAATTAAGACAGTGACAGCTCAGATAACATTATCTTTACAAATAAATATAATTGTATCTACAGAAAGGGTGGAGATGCTTTTAAGTGGCCTTCTTAGTTAATTCTAGAAGTCACTTTGAAGGACAAAAAGTCTTAACATGCAGCTTTCAAAATATCATGCAGATCATTAAGGGTACTCTATTGTCTGAAGCAGACTTAGGAGAAAATAACTTTTCTAATTATATCTTCCATGTCTTCTATCCTTCGTGAACAGCGAAAGAGAAGGGAAGAAAACAGGTCTATATACGATTTGATAATCAGAATCAGCAGATTATTTCATGTTTCTTAGTACAAAATGATATGCTGGGGGAAAAAATTCCACCAAATCAATACAGAAGTCCTCCTTTCTGGAAAGGCTACAGCTTCTGTGGGAGTGCTGAACCACCAGATGTGGGGGATTTTGACAACACCGGCACATGGGGAGGGTGCTAATGATATTACTTGTAGTGCATGCTGAAAGCCATTCAGTACTGAGGATACTGCAAATCATTAAGGGAAGATAAAAATGAGTAATTTTCATTCCAATTCCAACTCATCCCAAACTCGTGGATGGATGTTATAGTTTGCTTCTAAAGAGCTACTGTGCCCAAAAAGGAGTTACCTGCTGGAAATACTTGTCGCAGTTGATGTATTCCTTATCGTGAGAGTCCTGCAGCTTGTTAGTTTTGATGTACTGCCAGAGTGCCTGGATGATGGCTGAGCGTGTCTGCGTGTGGATCCCCAGCAGCCGCGCCAGCCGTGGGTCCAGCTTGAACTGGGGGGGCTGGAACAGGAAGAGAAGGAGGGGGCAGTGGAGAGGAAAGCAGACAGACACACAGTATGAAGTTTCAGTATTAATTCTCAGGGCACTCTGTTCCTTGGGAGAAGCACCCCATTCAATGGCAGAGATTGAAAAAACACAACTTTGCATTTCTGTATCCTACTGCTGATGCTCTGGATGAAGGAAGGGGGACACTGTACCTGTGCCATGCACACAGACTTACCTGTAGCATATGCTTTAAATAATAATAACTTGCACGAAGACTCAGGAAACAATTCTCCTTTTCAACATTGATGCATAATTTTACTGTAAGGAGTGGGAGAAGAAATAGAACAGCCCTTCCTCTGAACTACTGGAGGTTAACTACAGAGGGAGAAGGAAGTCATGATGATGCTTCCACTGTTGTAATGACTGCTCAGCTGCCTCACATCAACAAACTGCCTTGGAACTCTGTTTTTTCAGGCATGTTCCCCACCATTCTGGTGCATACCAGAACATTTACCCAACCACAATCAGTCAATAGAATATATTTCTTCTTCTGACCTCTGTGATACAACTCAACTACCCTGGTCTGCAGCCCTAGTAATACAAATTCCCTGGATAATTTGGAATTACACAGCTGGTTCAGGTACCACTGAACTAGCAAAAGCCACTCCTTTGAATTTTTTTAAAGAACCACACATGTAACTTGTGTTCAACTTATCTGACTATTCTCTAAGAAGCCAGAGGAGGAAATGCATATTCTTTCTGCAGGAGGTCAAAAAAAATACTAATTATCATAGTGCCAAGACCTATTATTTTGCTGGACTATATAGGAAGCTCACTTTGATGTGTCCCCTTTAAATCTTAAGTAATCTATCAGTTGGGTATCATTCTAACTTCAGTGGACCACGTGACATTCTGAGCCCAAGTATATTGTTTTTTGATGTGTGTGACAGGATGAATTTGCTCTGTTGCACCGTGTCCCAATGGCTGCACTGACCTGGTAGTCCAACATGAGGAGTAATGTGCATCGCACACTGACATCCCCAGGTCTCTTCACCTGGAATCCATCCGTTTCCTGGGTCGTGGGAGTTCTGTGCCACTGACAAAGGGAGAAACAAGACCGTCCGTCAGCGTTTTTTTCACTGATGTCCATGAAGGTGCATCTTGCACAGCACATCGTGCCAGAATAAGACAAGTACAAGCCTTCTGAAGATTTGGCAATTTAAAAAAGAAACCCAACAACAACAAAACCAAACCACAACAACCCCCCCCAAAAGATTTCAATTCAGCTTTAGTGCAGAATCTGTACTGCTGTTACGCTTTACTTGATAGGAAAAATGTGCATGATTTTTTCATCTTTTCACCCATTCTGTTCAAGATGTGCACTACATCACTACTACATCTATGTTTTTGGACTAGATTCTGTTAGCAAACATTCTTAAGAAGAATGGAGTTTTGAAAACTTTGAAAATTCCTTAAAAGAGATAACAAATACAAGGTCACCTACACGAGGGAGACAACAGGCACCTGGGTGCTTATGTGTGCCACTATCACGTGTGTATACGAAGTGTGCACAACCCTCTCACCTCCACAAGATGGTTGTCAGGTCCATAAAGATCTTTGTCCAGTTCTATAACCAAACTCTTAAAAAAGGACGAAAACTTCCGTTTCTGTTTGCTGAGCTGTACAAGCAGAAGAACCAGATATGTTTAAGGCTATGTGTATTAGCTTGTGTCCTAGGCTTCCTTCTCAGCCTCTCTCTTTGTCTTGAACATTAAATCCCATGTAGACCACAAGTGCGGTCACTCTAATTGAGTTTTCCCTCTGACAAACACAGGATAAGATGCAAAAATCTCAGCAGTGGTGGAACAATAAAACAGAACGGTAGGGAAGATTTCCCTGACTCTCTTAATGTTATTGGAAAGGACTGGCCTGTCATGTGAACGTGGCACTCGTGAGAGCAGGTCCAGAGAAGGGCCATGAAAATTATCTGAGGGCTGGAGCACCTCTCCTGAGGGCAGGCTAGGAGAGCTGGGGTTGTTCAGCTCAGAGAAGAGAAGGGTTTGGGGGGTATTCAAAAGGGGCTTGTTAGAAAGATGGAGAGAGACTTTTTACCAAGGCCTGTAGTGATGGGACAAGGGGCAATGGCTTTAAAATGAAAGACAGTAGGTTTAGACTGGTCATTTTTTACTCAGGAGGTGGGGAGGCCCTGGCACAGGTTGCCCAGAGAAGCTGTGACTGCCCCACCCCCGGAAGTGTCCAAGGTCAGGCTGGATGGGGCTTGGAGCAACCTGGGATAGTGGAAGGTGTCCTTGCCCATGGGAGGGGGTGGGACTGGGTGGTCTTGAAGATCCCTTCCAACCCAAACCATTCCATGATCCTAAGGCCACGGTATACCTTTCATTTTAACATCTTGGGGTTTTTTAATGAATGCTAATTTCTTGGTCTGATTTATCAGATAATAGTAAATTTTACAGATTGATCATACACTAGGTAAAACTATTTCCTTTTACATTTTGTCTTTCCATTTAATTATCAGTATTCACTGTTTACTCCACAGCTCATACTGTCTACATTAAAAACTTATAAGGAAGGCTTATAAGCACATAATCTGACTTTCCATAGAATATAGTCTATGGGATTCCAATTTATTTCTTTGTATTTAATGAAGATAATATTTTATTAAAAAATGCCAGTAATTGAAAAGATATTTTGTTCCAATAAAGAATCTCTTTTTCTTGTTAAAATATATGCTCTAATTTCTAAACCGAATTTGTCTAACTTCAATTCCCAGATGTTGCACTTTGTCACCACTTCATCTTCCAGGAAGATTATGATTCTGATTCATGTACAGTTACCTCTAGACAGCCGAAAGCCTTGCCCTCTCCACACATGCAAGTTCTTAATCTGTTTAGCCTGTAAATACTCAGCTTGTGAAGTCTATTCAAATAGGTGACATCTTTATTAGGAAAGTCCAGCCTTCCCCAAGGAAATCTAAATCCATCACTGAGGTTTCTGAGGACTTCATAATGATAAAACATTTCTCCCATCCTTGCTCTCACCATCATATTGATCTCCCTAGGAATATGAAGTACTGCCTTCTCCTTGTTATCCTGCTCTTCACAAGATGCAATGCCTGCTGTAGGCCTGACTTTTCATACCTCTTGTGACCTGAACCCTGCCATCTCTTTTAAGGGAATCATCTCAGGCCTCTTCTCTCCACCTCCCCCTACCTATCCTGTCCTTAAGTCTGTTTCACTTCCTGCTGCTCTCCCCAACACTCCCATTAGGGCCTCATCCCTCTCTCCGGTTGGACATGGTGCCTTCCCAGCAGCAACAAGCTAGCGCTGCCATTAAGAGATGCCTTGTCTCTGCTGGTGTCCCCAGCACTCCACAGGACAATCTCCAGAGCCCTGCCAGCCCCAGTGAAGCACGGGGCAGTCATACGTCATCCAGGAGCTTCCCCTCCACGCGCAGCTCCCACGAGGCAATGCTGCCGTCGGAGTCCTCGGCATCCGCCTTCGCAGGATTGAACGTGTTGGAGATGTAAAGTCTCAGTTTCCGCTTTTGCTGTTGCACACACAGAGGAAAAAAAAAGGACAATTCCAGTTAAAGTCCAAGACTTGAGGAAGCCACAGGAAAGGTGACAGTCACACATTTAGTAGAGAATCTACATGTTTAGTACAGTTGCACCAGGTTATACTAGAATATAGGATTCGGTTACATGTAAGAAAATATACTGAAAAGCTGAATCTGAAACTTCCTTTCCTGGCTATACAAACATACTGAAATTTGCTGTAAGTGGAGGAAGACAGGAGGTTGCAGGGCCAAGCCCAAGAGGCAATACATCCTCTACTTCTGGATTAGATACTTGAGAAATTGTTGTAAGAAAAGCATGGTTTGATGTCCTCCCTGGCTGGAAGGTCCTAGCTGGACCTACCTAGATTGCTAAAACTCATCTGCAAACCTCTTGCAACATGAATGCCTTTCAAAGCTGAATCAGTTCAGATTTGTAAATGACAGTCACAAATACAGCTCATGCTGCAAACCATCTGCCCTGCACATTTCTGCCCATCTGCATCCTACAATCATGCAGCATCTGGTAACAGTCCTCCTGCAGACACACCTGAACACAGAGACACACACCCCCTTGTTGCCTTACCCTCCTCTTTAACTTTCTTCACGTTCAGCAAAGGTTTCAGCTCCACCCTGCTGTGAGACCTGAGTGGAGGAAGGCACCACACTTCATTCCTAACCCAGGCACTCAAGTCTGTGAGAGATACAATCATGCCTACCTATTGCCATTTTTACAGGCTACCTGAGGTTTCCAATCACTGTGGTGGCTTTTGGCTGTGTCATTTCTCAGCACTTTTCCTCCCATGCACCACATGGAAAACCCAGCCATTAAGTCTGAGGCACAGATTCCAAACAAGATATTGCCAAAAATTACTCTGGGACTCTAATCTCCAATATCTATTTATAATACAACGACAAAAAGGCTACAGTTGTCAAGTTAACGCAGACAAAACAACCTTCATACAATATAAGAAAGGAGCAGTCTTGTAAAGCTTTCACACTCACACATAGGAGAGAAGGAAGTTACAGACAGCATGTTATGGAGCATAATCTGTCATGGAGGAATGGGAAAGGAAGAGATTTATGGCTGAAGAGGAACAAGAAAATGACTACATTTTGCCAAATCTGAGAAGACAGTGACAGGAAGGTTTGACAGAAATGGAGCGTCAGTTGTATGCACTGACAGGGAACAGGATCTTCCAAAGTGCCATGAGTCCAGAAAATGACAGGTCGGCACAGGTAAGAACAGGCAGATAGGTGGAAAAACATTTCTGGGAATCTATATTCTTTCTCCATCCTTTCCCATGGGACTAGACTCGTGTCACCACAGGTATGTCACGAAATGCAGGGGCATCTTCGTGAAAGTCCCTTCCTCAGGGGATTCACCCCTGAGTCAGAACATCTTGGGCAGCATTCAGTTGCAAGCCTTTGCCACAAGAGTTCTACCAGAGCTCCTGTGCTCTGTCTCAGGCTGCCAGGCTTGTCAGCAGCAGGGTGGGGGCAAGGTCAACTCCCCCCGCATTCCATCTGGCCGTTCCGGTCCAGCTCCGGGACGTCTTTTGAGCTTCTTAGCTCCTCTCTCTCTCTCTGGTGCTGCATGTCTAAAACTCTTCTCCAAAATAGGAGTCCATGTCCCTCTTTTCCAAGAGGGGTCTCAAAGGAGTTTGGGGGGGTCTGGTACAGTTCTTACCCCCAGAACTCTGTAGCTCTGCTGCTGACTCTCTCTCTCTCTCTCTCTTTCCAAGAGTCCTTTCTGCGATACATGCCATTTCTGCTGCTTCTCCGGTTCAGTTCTTATCTGTCCTGGCTCTCTGCCAGTCTCTGGACGCCGCGTCTCTGCTTTCTGCTCTGTCTCCGCTGCCCATGGTGGAGAGAAACATCTCCCAGCTTAACCACAAACACTTAGCCCAGTCTAACACTGTTCCAAGTCTTTGCAGTCCCCCCCAGCCCGGGGCTGGGAGGGCCCAGAGGCCCCGAGGGGCTCAGAGCCCCTTCCTCGTGGCTCTACAACATGGCCACCTCTCCTCAACAACCAAACTACCACAACTCTTCTCTTCCGTTTGCTTGTGGTATGTTTACATTTTGCAGGAGCGCCCATTGGGCAAAACTTCAAAACTTCCAGGGGTTTCCACCCCTTGGGGTCTACCACTTTTCTTAGCCTCTGGGGGAAAACAAGATTCAAACCACTACAGTAACTAATGAAAAAAAAAATGAACAAAACCTTAAAAATATCCAACCAAAGCAGAAAAATCAGTGACTTGGTAGACTACACAAGTATCATGAAGACTAAGAGGAACTAGACAATATTTACTGAGTTCAAAACTGCACTGACATGTGAAAAACACATGTAGACAGTTCTATGAAAACTTCAACAACTACAGCAAAAACAACCAACAAAGAAAGTGAAACAGAGGTTATAGAGGAATAAAATTGAAAATAGTATGCACAATAGTCTATAAAATCCACTATAGCAGTTTATTTGGTCGTTGTATACTGTACTTTCTCAGGAGAGAATGAGGAGGTGTATAAGAACAAGCCAATGTGGGTGGTAAGAACAAGCTAGGTGCACTAAAAAAATCTTCCTCTACACTGATTGGGAGAACTGAATTTTTTACCTAAGAAAACAAACCATTAATGAACTTGAAAGACATATTTAAAACATAGACTGATTAAAGAAGGAGATTAGGTGTTTGCATTTTCCTTATCTCACAACACAAAAAGCAGAACATACAAAATTACGTCAGAAATGTTTCGGAAAAAGTGCAAATCCAAGAGCAATTCCTCAGTCATCTTAAAACCTGAAAGCAGGGAAAGAATCTCAATTCACAGAACCAGGGAGAGAGACACTGTGATAGCAGTCTGATGCTACTACTCGTTTTTAAGCTAAAAACGGAGAACCTGGGAATAGATCATTTGGTCTGAGAAACTGCAACTATACACAGGTCTGGTAAACTCAATGTCCCACACCAGTCCCTGGCGGAAGAGTGACGGTCCCTGGATGACAGTCTCCAGTTTGCAGTCCTGCATATTCCCTACATCACCTACCTCAGACAAATTCAAATTTTCTCCAGGATTACAACCCCAGTTTGGGAATCACTGTTTTAAGGCAAATACTTCAAAATTACAAGAGCTGTGATAAGAGATGGAAATGCAGGGATAACTTTCATTGCTGTTACTAATGCTCCAACTGTAATAAAATGAAAATACTTAACATTAGAACAACCCAAATTTATCTAGACTTAGCTCTAGACAGGTCTTGACTTTCACAACTGCTACATGCTAGGGCTATTTATGCATGAATTTGAAAAACATCTGTTTGATCATTCTCTAGATGTTAAGTAACTGAGTAACCGATATTTAAAATGTATTTGCTGAACCCTAGGTGGACACAGAATTTTCTGTAGTGTTGTGTCTCTTACACCGTTCCCCGCTCCAGCTCTCCTTTGCACAGCTTACGGCTGGGACCTCATGTACCTGTTACTTCCCTAATTAAAGACTGTGCCACAAACTAAACAGATTTATGAATGCAAGTCCAAGTCTCCAATAATTTTTAAACACGTCCACATTCCTGGCTAGTTTAAAATAATGTTCTGCCCGTATCAAGAAGCTACAACAAATTACTCCTTCTGAGAGTCCAATTTAGTATATACAACACTTTGCGACAATGAACTTGTGATTTAAGCCATCCACATTTCAGTTTCCTGTCTATCTAGGTACATTGATGGATCTTGTTTCTTTTTTTCTGTTTCAATATATCAATTGGAAAAACATCAGGAGTTAAAGTGTTCTATGTCTTATCAGATACCTGTACAGTGACAAACACAACAGAATCTTGATCTTAGTTGGGCTGACACCCATCACCCTGGTACAAACAAGAATGTCGGCTTTACCTCACTGCAGACATATAGCTGCAAAACCCTTTGTACTACAGGATTTACTAGATGAATGACTATGAGCACCCTATACAGTCAAAAGAACTCAAATTTAAGGTGTGAAAAGAAATTCTTCACAATGAGAGTGGACAAACATCGTAACAGATTGCCTGAGGAGGCTGTGAAACTTCCATCCTTATGGATTTTCAAAACTCAACAAGGCCTTGAACAACCCTATTTTGAGCAGGAGGTTGAACTAGATAGCTTCCACAGTTTCTTCCTACCTAAACTTTTCCATGATTCTAATGAATAGACTCAAAAAACTTAGCAAAAGACCATTTCAGTGGGATATTACAAAGAGTGATGTGCTGGACTTGATCTGACATTCTTTTTCTGACATGAATAATCCTTATACAGGATATGTGTACATTTTTGCAGGATCTTTAACAATTTTTCTGTAAGTAATTCTTCCCATCATATGTTCAGTTATTCCACAAGTTCAGCTTTTGACTGAATCAGAATTGGAAATTTAATACATCTCTTCAGCACACCCCTCTAATCTCTTATTTTCTTGTTTTTAATCATTCTGATACAAAATTTCAAAATCAGTGTTTATTTATCCCTAAGCTATTATTCCCCTTATTAAAGGCTTTCAGAAGCTAGAGCTGGCAATAACCACAGAATTTTCTCTACCACTTTTCCATGCATGCTGATCCCCAGCTGCTGAAGCTTTGGAGCTTTGTCTGACCCATTCCAAAATATTCCTGTAACAGGACTTTTATTGAAAAGATCATTTCACCATTTAATACAAGAACTATTTCCCCACTCAACACAACCTACAAATTTTTCACAACATTACCTTCATTGGCCTCTTCAGCGCTTCCTGAATATCCACACGCTTCCGCATAATGGTCTGGTCCAGCTTGCGTTCAAAGGCCAAGAGATCCATGTAGGCCTGGGACTCAGGAACCAGCTCCCGGATCTGAGAAGGAAGCAAGGAATATCCAAGCACTGGAAGCACAAATCTGCCATGTTCCAGAGCAGCAATACCCACCCATTCCATGCCCTCGGACAGATGTGCCCAGAGTTGTTCTCCCTCCTGCAGTTCCCAGACAGTGAGGCAGGCCTCAGGGGCATGGGACAAGCACAGACTGAAGAGTGGGAGCACAGAACTGAAGCTAATGGATTCTGGAAGACCCCAGCTAGATTCACGAGGCCTGAACCATAGCTGCTTTTTTTCAAGTGCGGCTTAGCTACCAGCAGCCCAGGAGCCACTGCTGTCAGCAATCCAACGTCCAGTAAATTTGTCCTGTTCAAACTAAAAGAGTGCTGCATCTCTCTAGACTAAAAAAGAGGGGATGTTCATCTGATGTTTCAAAAACAAGTGTTACCCATTGTAAGTAAAAACTGCCACACAGGATGCAAGCCTTTGCCAGCTCATCTTCCTGGCTGAGGTGGAATTGACCTTCACACCAAAGTTTCCACATGATCAGCTATCAGGTGTCAACCTACGATCCTGCCAACTTTTATTGATATTTTAATACATTAGCTAAACTATGTTAGTTCTATTGACAAATATCCTTTTTATTTTCTGTTTGATGGAGAAGTCAGTAGAGAAGGGAATATGAAGTAGGCTGGAAGGAAGACCTCATGATCTGAACTTAGAAATGGGCAAGTATACCCTTAAATGAAAAAGTTCGTTCTTAATTTGGGGCAAACCATATAAGAAAGGAACTGTAAATAATTAAAATAAATACATGGGACTGCCTTGTCTATTTCTACAATACTCACCCTAGCTGTCACCTATATAACTAATATATTTATGTTTTTAAATAATACATTTAACTGTTAGAATACTTCTATAGGAATTAAAAGTCAGTTGGTATTCCTGTTTTGCTTTAGAATCAGAAATCTACAGTTTAAATTTGGTGTAAGACACAAACACCTATGTGAGAGACATCAGGCACACATCTGTTCACTGTGTTCTGCAAGGACATGAGAACTCCTGAATGAGTTCATCCCAACAGTCATCTCTTCTAGCATTGCATCTCTGACAGTAGTTGAAAGTTGCTGCCTTTAAGTACCCATAACAGCTCGAGGCCCAGCATTTCAGAACCTCACCAGGCAGTGTGGGAGGAACTACCTCCTTTTGCTCATTTGGAACCTGCCACCACTGAGCTTCATTTGATGCCATCCCTGTGCACAGCTGGGGCAGCAGTGGTCAGGCATTCCCTAGGCACCTTCTCCATACACCTTACAGTTTTTTGTCATCCCTTTCTTAACAATTTTCTTTTCCAGCCTGAAGATGAACAACTGCTCCCTGCTGTATTTAGACTGATTAAGATTATCAAATGAATGTCTCTTCCAACCTACTCTATTTGTTTTGAGATACTAGAACACCTGCTCTGTTTACAGCAAGACTGACACTTTGGAGAAACCTAAACCACAGAGCCAAAAACTCTGTTCAGCTTTAACTGAACCATTATATTTCTAACTGCTCGTATGCTTTCTCAAAGTGTTAGTATTAGCAGAATAATAAAGGAACACGAACATTTTTAAGAGCAAAGCACGAAGAGCAAGCATTCCCCTGGAAACATCAAGGAGTTGCCAGATAGCTTGCAAAGGACAGCGGTGCTTCCTCCCACCACTTCCAGAGTACAAACCTCTGGACCCAACGAAATACCCCAGTGCTTTTATCCCGTCCCACGCTGATGAAAAGATTCCTCAGTTCCTTGCCTGAGGAAATTAATTGTGGTGTACCGCAGTCAACTAAAAATTCTGGACTGAGAAAAGAGTTTCAGACCTTTAACACTGAGTTCCATCAGAGTCAGTTCATGAATCCCCAGTCTCATGGTGATGCAGGGAGAGGCCTACACAGCCTTTAGGATACAGGCTATACCACACAGGGGATACAACCTTCCCATCTGGTTTGCAGGGTACTAGAGCCAGGATCTAATGAGGTTTCTAGTAAGCTTGTAGAAACAGCAGTAATCTTCAATAAATATTTCTATTCCACACCTTTACATCGTTTACCACATGAAAGTGAAATGGTATTTCCTATTCCATTCCTATAACCAAACTGCATGTTAAATATTATAAGATGTTAAAAAGCACAAACACTTTAAAATCAGCCAAAGACAATACTGCATATAATTCCTTGAACTGCAAATGGCCACAGGTTGGGAGAGCATTTGAGAGAAGAATTGTACTTGCTGTGTTTGTACTCTTCTCTAGAGATGTGTTGTGGTCACAGCAAAGACGGGATTTTGGGCTAGACCAAAGGTTCACTCAGGCCAGTTTTGGCAGTTCTTACAGTCCTTTGGTTTCTCACTCTACTACTGGAATAATCTTTTAGAGGCATGATAATGTTCCCATTTCATATCCTTTCCCAATTTCCCCTTAGGAAAATCAAAGGGAAGCCCCAGCAGCATCACATCACAATGAAGAATTTTCTTAGGTTTTGGTATACCTTAGCTCCAAAAGATAAGGGTACTCTTACACTCCCAGCCAGTAGTACATAATTAATTTTCAGTTTTCTTCACAGGTAACTGAACCCCAGTTATCTGGGTGGTCCTTCTTCTTGCATAGTTTGCCCTAAATGAAAAGTTCATAGCTCCATGAAAGTCTCCAGTCTTCTTCTACTAAAGTTCTAACTACAAATGTGTTAAGAATATTTTGACATTTGAATTCTCCATTCTTGCCTTCATCTATTTGAAAAAAACTCCAGAAAGCATCTATTAGCAGCATCTCACTGGCCAAGGTTTTGAAGCATGTCTGTCACACCTTATCTTAGAATTACAGAGATAACTGGAAGAGATTACTAATAACATTAGTAAGATAGTGTCTTTCTAGATGTTGGGGTTATTTTTTTTCTTATTGTGAAAATACAAATGTTTCAAACATTTAGAAATTAGTAAGAACAGATTATTATTAAATTATGCACTTTTGTCCTTGATTTCCAAAAGTTTATTTTTATTGGTGGTGACAAAGGAATGGCAAACTTGCAAGTGGGGGCACTGAGGAGAGTGTGGAGGGAATGACATGATGGAAGAGGCTTTCACGATTTCCTTGTAGAAGCAGCACAATGTGGGGGCCCCACCACACCTGTCTGTAAAACAGATGTGCAAGGCTTGCAAGACAGAAGCAGAAACTAGAGAACAGCTGCACCACTACAAATTCTGGGACATGAACAACATCATGGGATAGCTTCTACAGCTGCCACAGTACAACAGCTTGACAGCAGGCTGCAGGCCAGGGAAGACAAGAAGAAAGCCTTCTGCAAGTGGATCAGCAACAGAAGGAAGGCTCAGGAAGACCCAGGTCTGGGTCTGGTTCTGCCCCTCGTGTCCAAAGCCCCGGAGAAGGCCGTGGTACTGTGTGCTGTCTTTGGCTCCATTGCTCCTGGCTAAGTCCTGGCCTCAGTCCTCCCAGGGCCCCGAGCCCACGTCAGTCAGGGCAGCAGGGCTGTTCAGAGGGACCCTGACAGGCTGCAGGAACAGGATGGCAGCTTAACACAGTAAAGGCGAAGTTCTGCTCCTGCCATCAGAACCTGAAAAGACTGTAAGACCCTTCAGAAAAGGCTGCTTCTGAGTTTGCTGACTGAGCTGCAACACTGAACACATGCAGTGGAATGCCCAGTAAAGCAACTTATCTGTACGGGCGGGTACTGGTGAGACCACAGCCGCCGATGACAGTGACCCAAACTCACTGCAGGTAAGTTAACGAAGTCATCTGCATGAGCAGCAACAAATAGCCAAAGACGTCAGGTATAAAGAGCAGGAATGGTGCTGGGGCTTTTATAATGTAACCTGAATGTAAGAAGCAGAATCTACAAGTGACGCAGGATGGGGAAATCAGGAAAAAAAGAAGAGCACAGGATATGCATCCATACCATGGCAAACTGGGAGAAAGAAAACAATACAAATTATTAAAGGTAGTTGTACAATCAAAAAAAATAGAGGCAAAGCCCAGGGAAGCTGTGGCTGCCCCAACCCTGGAAGTGTTCAGGGCATGTTTGGATGGGGTTTGGAGCAACCTGGTTTATGGAAGGTGTCCCTGGCCACGGCAGGAGGTGGAATGGGATGAGTTTTAAAGTCCCTTCCAACCCAAATCATTCTGTAATTCTATGATTCTATGGCATAGCTACAGCATGGGGACTCTCACTGCTTCCCAGGGAAATCTTAAAAGGATTTAGGAAATGGTAGGGGAGAAAACAATAGTCCAGAAAAACACTGTAGCCTAACAGGTCAGTGCAGTTCTAAATACATGAGCAAAAACACCTGGAGCAAGATTAAGGATTTTACAATTACTGCCATGCTTGGCAATACATTAATCACCAAAAGAACACTAGAGTCATAAATGAAGAAATCTACTGACAAACTCAAGAAAACTCCACAAAATTCTGAGAAAAGCTACTGAGAATATTAGGAGACAGGAAAACATCCTCTATAATACAAAGTTCCATAAAGCAAATCAATTGCTTCACTTACGAGTATGTATCTACCTATACAGAAAGAAAAATAGTTTCTTTGCCTATCAAAGTGACAACATAATGATCCTGAAATTGTTTAAGTTCAGCTCAGAAGTAAGGTGAAAATTCTTAGGAGTGAGTGTAGCCAAATACTGAAAAAAATTGACAATGACTGCAGGGAATATATCATCGGTAGTGATTTTCAATACTCTGAGGTCTGTCTTGTATACCAAAAGCAAAACAAAGTAGCAGTAAGTTCTCATGATAGGGCTGGACTTCAGATTGTCTAGTTGTATGACACTAAAAATAAACTAGTATTTTTTTTTCCTCCCAGAAGATCAAATATATGCTCCTTCTTTTCAGAGTCTTCATAAGAAAGCTTGCCACTCTCCAGTAAAATAAAAAGACCTCTTAATACAACTATTAGGAGCTGATATACAAGTATGCAGACTATAAAGAACAGACAGAATACTGATAGGAACTGACAGGAAAAAATCAGAGTCGGTGATAGA